GCCACACTTTCTTTCCATTGCCGTGCCTTGGGCAACTCCCAGGCACCCTCTCTTGCAGAGTGTTGCAACCTTGTACAGGTTATGTTGCAATAAGAGCAAAGTTACTATTATTCTAAAGTTAATCTGCATTCACTTGAAAATGCACATCAGTACCTGAACCTTCTTTTTAATTACTCCACTACCTGAGCTTTCATGTTTTGTGTCTGATCCAGGCCTGAACTCTGCCAGTGTAATCTTAGTAAATATGCTACTGAGAAGCAAAAATCAATTCAGCATTTTTGGAGCTTACACAGGATAAGGAAAATTACTTCTCTAAAATAACGTGCAACTCTTTTAGGACAGCACTGCTTAACTGATAAGGCCAAACAATTCAAATTTCACGAAATAACTTTTCTCAAAGAAATGCAATTTTCACTAGATTGAGTTATGACTCTTTTGAGAACTACATTGGCCAGATGTGTATTGGAGCTTCTTAGAAATTACCAAGTGTTACGTTAAATTAGATCAATGGTTTTACACACAATAAAAAACTGATTTCTATGTCAAGGATTTGAATCATATAGATGTAGTTTTAGTTTAAAATGTATGACCAACCACCATTATGGCAGTTTTATGAAGGAAGGGAAGTTGAAAGGTTGCAATGGTGATTTAATTGGGAGGGTATCCACTTTCTCACTCAAGGTAGCAGTTTTTTTATCCTCTGGCATGCCTTTGTGTGCCCCCCCCATTTGCTACACTGGGATTTAAATAACTGCTGGTGTCTTCTTGCAGTTCTTTTTCTGGCTATTTGAATCTTACAACATGTTAATAACTAACACCCTGACATAAAGCAGTTACTGGGCCTACAGGCAACTCTGCTGGGTGGAGGGCAAGAAAATCAAATAAATATAACTCATTGTTTTACTCTCACATTAAACATGGCAAGAATTACTTCTGCAACATACTACATACACCATCACATAAAGTGTAAATAAATGAACCCTTTCTTAAGCTATTTTTCAGAATTATAAACATATAGTCCATTAGATACAGAATTGTAGAAATATTAATAACTGTTGTATGAGTGAAGCATGAAGCAGGCAAATCAGCAAAGCTTTAAGTTGACTCTAGCACGGTCTGATTTGTTAGATTAAACAAATGCATTTTAAAAAAATGGCTCATTATATTTCTTCACAGAAAAGACACCAACACAAGGCTAACCAACTTCTCTCTAAGTACTTATGCCCACGAGATCCTCTTTATATTTTCAGGATTATCTATTTCACTGTTGGTGAATACACTACTGCTAGTGTGGTGGTTTCCTCCCAGTGGGCACCGTAATAGCAAAATGTGTTAATACCAAATCATTCATGTCAAATTATATCCTTTCCTTAGCTTCAAGTCAGACATATCTTCTTCAGTATAACAACTCAGGCTGGTGCCCTTGCACTAATAGAGACAGGATCTTTACTGACAGGTCTCGGAAAAGGATTTGGCCAGCCACCAACTGTTTGAGTGACAATCACTTTGATTTATTTCGTTTGATTTGATTGCTCTTATATCATGTGATTTAAGAGTAGACATTCAGCTTTTTGCGATACAGGTACACAGGAGAAATGGGAGACCCTCTTAAGATGCCACTCATTGTAACAGCTTACAAAACACAATAGCAGTGTTTTAGTTGTGATGGTTGAGCTCATAATGTAAAAGAAGAGGCTTAAAGTTTAAAAGCATCTCTCTCTTTCCCAGATGCTCTAAGTGATCTAACAAAGACGCTACCTTTCCATACAAACTTTATCTCACTTACCTTCGTAATGTGTAGGCTTCCTACCCAGCAGCTTTCCTTCCTAGCAAATGCTAAAAATATTGGAAGACCTGTTAAACTCAAAAGGTAGTTCATTTATCATGGAATCAAACATTCCCAGAAAGTAGAAGAGGAGAAACTGGCAAATAAGTGAATAAGTGATTGAAAGGAGAAGCCAGAAAAAAGATATATCACAGGAACAATTCAACTTCCAGGAAATGAACTAAGATGACCCTTTCACACAGCAAATACAGTTGTTACCAGTTAGAGGGACATGTAGATGGGGAAGCACCATGCACGAGTGTCTATACATTATGAACAGCTATATAAACCTTCACTAGTTTAGCATTAAAAAAAGCCTACGTAAGTTAACTCATATTTTTGGGTGTCAAATACTTCAGACTTCTTTAAGGTGCATGACTGACAGTTGGTACCCTTGGAACAAAGGGATAGTGAATTGAAAAACACACCCATTACTTTATGGCCTTTCCTCTTTTGAAAAGCATGATGAAGGAACTTTTCCAAGCTGTAAAAGACTGTGGTTCAGATCTCGGGTCAATACCCATGTCACATGCTGTAGGATACTCTGTGAAGAGTTACTCCATCTCTGTTACTAATGTTGGTAGAACTTTGCACTAAATGTTCCAAAAAATATTTCAGCAGAACTACGGCAGAAGGAGACATTGAGAAGAATGCACTTAAAAATACCTGGCAACTCTAACACATGCTCCCAAAGCAGTGGCTCAATTCCTGCTCTGAAATGGGTGAAATCTGGTTTTGAACCCGCTTCCCTTATTCCAGGTGGACATCCTAATTAGAGGGTCTTGATGGAATGGAGAGCAAAACTTCTTACTCTGGTATACCTGTTAAGGAAACGCAGCAAAAAATAACAATCACAGGATTGTTTCAGGAAAACAGTCACCACAAAAAACCTGACCAATTTTTGTCAAAATCCTGTGTCACACAGGTGAACTGAGACAAGAGGTACTCAAAGCCCTTGTTACTTCTGAAAGTACAGAATATGAGATTTTTGAACAGATGAACCTGACAGAGAGCTGTGCAAACAGGAACATGGCGATGCAATAGAAACAGTATCATGATTAGCAGAAAATATTTTGACAGCTTTTTTCTACAGATTTTCCTTTTTGTGAGCATGATGCAGAAAGGTAAAACTTAAGCGGTTTTGGGGGTTTTCTTGTTTCTGTGTTATGTGTTAAGAGCCTCGCTGAATCCAGAGCAAGAATCCCATCCTATGTTTTGATACTTTTAAAAATAAAATTGGAAATAGTTATGCACTACTAAGTTAACTGTAGCCTGCTGTCTAGAAATAATATACGGATTTACAGCAATTTTTTCAGTCCCACTTTCCAAGTTCACTTTGAAGTTACACGGTATACAAAATGAGTATTAATGGTGCATTAGATGAGAAGAAAACAAAATCTAGCATGCTGGTCAAATATTTCTAGACTGCTCAGTTCCTGATATGCCTAAAATTGATTCAGTTTTAACAGAATCCAGTTCAGGCTCATTTCAGTGATATAGAAAATGTCAACATTCACTGCTACTGCATCTACTCCCTTAAGTATCTATTTTTTAATTTTGATATTCAACTGAACTCTTTTCAAGGAAAAAGACTAAAAGCATGGGAAGCTGAAGTTTCCAACTTCCGAACAGACGAAATAGCAACCTTGTCCATATGTTGCCCTGCTCATGATCTCTGGAAAAGCAAAAGACACAAATTAATTTAATCTATATCCAGAATTTTTTTTTTTTTTGAACTTTTTTTTTTCTTCCTTTTTAACCAAGGCTACTGAAAGAGTACAAATTTCTGTAAACACAAAGTGAAATTATTCCTTTAAATACAGTGTCAGGTGGAAGATAGTACTCACCTATAAAGCTTCTGAAGCAGGTAATTTTCCAGGAAAAATATTAACCATCCCTTAATCCAGTTACCAATCTTGTTCAGCATACTTTGAGAATGGTGTTTTAACTTCAGGGAGATAGTAATTTTCAACAACAGATGCACATGTAAATATTCATTCCATTTATTGTGGAAACACTGAAGACACAATATAGCTTTAATATACTCCCACCAAACAACTACTAATTTAATCTGAACTTCACACTGTTTATTGTGGAAATGCTGCAGACACAAACACAGATCTAAACACAGTTCCACCATCAGAGAACATGACACTTCAAGGAAGGTCAAAACAAAATGGCTCTTAAAGCTAAAAAGAAGAGGCAGATGCCATTTCCTAGAAATGAAGGAAGGTAGGCTCCACTGGAGCAGATTTAGTACTGGGCTTTTCTTTTGGAATGGTGGTAAATGAAAAACCCAGAGCCCAGTGATTTTTCTTTTTTACCTAATTGCTCCAATCCAGGAATCTTTGGCACAGGAATTTTCCTTTGCTTTGTGACTACAAGATTATTCAGCCATTTGTTCTTAACAAGGCCACTGTTTTCATAGACTTCGTTTAATCCTACTGTGTGGCATTCAAATGCATGTTGTGCAAAGGATGCTCTTGAGTGTCAAATTCTATGTTGATAGGAGACAAACAGCATCAGGTTATTGCACTAGTTCTTTTTTACTCTACTTTTATCTGACTAACAAACAAGGCTGTTGGAGAAGAGAACTGATTTTCCTCATTATTCCCTAGACTGCCCTTATTTTATTGCATTTACACTGACAAGCTGACAAATATATCTACACACAAGAGGAAAGAATTCCACTGCATTTTAAAGAGACAAAAAATGAACTGCCAAACTGAAAGTTATTTTAAGTTAAGCATGCAGATATTCTATTTCTAGTTCACTCTTGCACACTGCCTAGATTTAAACCACAGAGTTGCACTGCTTTTTCTTTGCACAGATGAATAAAAATAAGGCCTATTTAAAAAACCTGCACCACAGACAACAGTAACACATTGCTTATTCTGTCAGTCACAACGGCACATTTTACTTCCTCATTGCTCTGCATCAGTTGTGAAGCTGTATTCACAAAACAGGGAATGTTTATATATTGAAAACTTGTGTGTAAAATAGAATAAAATCATGTGTGCATTTCTTAGACATCAATTAAAACACTGGCAAAATAAAAGCATTATAAAAAAATTGTAGAAAACTAGAGCTCTAGTAACTTTTGAACAGCAAAAAACCTGTCAATCTCATCGTGGAGATCAAAATACTTTTTCGTGCACAATTCTTTGCATGCCATTCCTCCTTACAGTGCTACATAATCACTTCGCTTTTTCCTCTCATTTCAGTATTGACGAATATCTGCCTACATATTAATTCAGAAAATATTAATTAAAAACTGGAAAGAATTGGAGCCTAGCACACTGATTTAAAATGTTGTCTCTGATCATATATTCGATATCAAGTCCTAGCATGAAACTATTATATTTAATCCAAGTAGTTTCTTGTTAGGAAATAACACACATGCTGTCAAACGATTTTCAGTACAAAAGATATACAGATAAAATAGTCTAACTAAAAAGGTCTGAAGACTCCTAGGCATCAGTAGGGAAGGCACTTTTCCGGTCACATAATTCTAGCACGTTGGGATTCAGCACAGCTTTGGTATTTCAACATCTCCTTCAGTTTCTATGCAAGTGATATCCACTGACTGCCCAGTCCTGAACTTCTCCACTTGCAAATAATGCAAAGAAAATTGCTCCAAATAGATTAATAGAAGCAGCAATATAGAAAACAGTCTGCCATTCTCCCACAGTATTCTGTCAAAAGGGGGAAAGAAAAAAAAAAAGATGCAGTCAATTTGCAGTCCCACACTCAGGAAAAAGTAATTTTAAAACCGACGCTACATGCCTTGCCTATTTAAATGTAAATGCTATTCAGCATGATTTCATAGCAACATAAAAGCATTATAAACATAAAAGATCAAATCATCAGAATAGTCAACATCGTTTAATAACACAGCTTACACAGGTAGTCCTATCAGAATTGCATTAGACTATCTGGATCAGTTTATCATCTGAGATGCAGAACCTTCATATCAAAATTCACATTTGCACGAAGGCTATACAAACTCGCAGAGAATGTTACTGTAAGGTGAAACACCACCTCACTTTCAAGTCAGGTGATCCAAGAGCTGAAGTGCTCTGCATTATGCAGTAAGCTATTCTTAATGACTACTATGTGGATATTCCAGAATCAAGCTTTTTAGCCCAAACAAGGTAGCTATCTTTACTCAGAATTCAAGAGGAATCCTCTACACTCTGGTATTTAAGACAGACCTTAAGACATGGGTAGCAGAGAATCATGTGTTTTTTTGGTTTAGGTTTTTTTCTTCTTTTCTTTTTAAATAAAGAAGTAATATCTGTAGATGTCTTAAGGCTTTTTTTTTTTCCTTTTTTAGTTCCAGATGACTACTGTAATAAACCTGTAAATGATCTTACTACAAAAACCAGAGCAGTGCATTAGTATGGGGGAAAAAACCCAACCCAAACCAAAAAAAAATCCCACTTGTTAAGATGTCTGGAAGAACTAATTTGTTTGGATTAATGTATTAATGAATATTTTCATATTATTTTTAAGGAAATCATTGGCCTGATCACCAACTCCAAAAATTCAACTGTATCAATAAACTTACTCCTCCCATCTTCCTTTCTTAAAAGATTTTTGAATAATTCATATAGTTGATTTAAAAAAACCCAAAAAAACACAAACCACAAACAACTCCTCGGTCCCTTTTTCTACTCCAAATCACCCTTTGACTAAACCATCTTGGAAGTCAAATCTAACACTGTTCAAGTTAGGTCTCTTGTGAAACTAACACAGCTTAGAATGTCCTAATCCTGTAATGTACATACAAAGGGATGCATTATAAAAACCACACATTTGAACCTAGTTTCTCATACATCTGACAAAAGCTGACCTTACAACTCAACACCTCACGTGAGAGACTGATTTTAAAAAAACAAGTAAGAACTTGTCTTAATTTGCAAAAATAATACCACAACTGTCTCAGCTAGTTGGCATTTTAACAGAGTTTTACTGCGATAAAAACATACTCATTTTATTCCTAGAGAATACAAGGGGTGAGTCACTAAAATTTTAAAGTCCTACACAGGTCTTCGATTTTACCTTTATTTTCCTGATCAGAATCAGAAGAACAAAGGCTAGGAATTAAGTCACTGACAGCAACGGAACAGTATGACTTACATGTATAACCCAGATTTCATTTAATGACTGCGGACTTGAGAAGACAGAATTTCCATTCAGTGGAGACAGAAATATAACTACTGAAAAAATAGTAAGCAGACTTACATTATGAGTGAGGTTCTTGGCAATAACTGGCCCAACCATTCCTGGGATAGTAGCAAAAGAATTTGTGATCCCAAGGAGAATTCCAGCATACCTGCAAGAGAAATTGTTAACGCTGCTTATTAACTTACCCTGCTTATCAGTCATGGAAACAATTTTGCCTAATCTGATCACATAGGCCTCATCTTGATCACACAGACAAACTAAAACACAAATATTCCAGTGGGAATGGCTTGCTTTCATTCTAGTAACAACTCACTGACAACTTGGCACATACATTTTTAGGGACATGGTTTAGTGGTGGACTTGGCAGTGTTAGGTTAACGGTTGGACTCGATGAACTTAAAGGTCCTTTCCAACCTAAATGATTCTATGATTCTACATGTCTCTATTTTCCAGAGGCTAGTTATGGCATTTAACTTAAATTACTCATGGCTTTGCTCAGGACCCATAATCCAAACCCACATCCCCTTTGCTAAGCCACAATCAAACTGTCTGAATGGATCTATCGGAGAAGTTGGAAAAGAAATACTGCATGCCTTGAAGTGGAAAGACAACAAGGAGTATGACTGAGTGCTGTCTGGCAACAGTAAGAGTTGGTTCAGGTATCATTGCTAAAAAGTGTCTGCCCAGAAGGCAGTATCACCAGTGTGGATGGATATTCTCACTTACACTACAGAGTGTACGTTCCAAAGACCTGAGTTCAGAGCGCCGCGGCAGTCCTTCCCTTCAGCTTTCTGTGGGTCAAGGCCAATGGGAAATGGGTCTGACTTAACCAGTTCTGCTGGTTGCCATTCCTGCAGCTCCATTCTGAGGCTTCCTGTTCCATGAACGTGTTTGCTCTATCACACACACGTGCATGCATATGCACCAGCGGCCACAAAAACTTGCTGGGAAAAGCTGGTAACTTGCTTAATATCTGAGTCTCAGCACCTCATGTCTAGGCAATTAAAGATCTCTCTCATAGGAATGTTGCAATACCGAAAGATCATGTTTGAAACTGTACCACAAGCGCAGGCTTGTGAGAGAGACTGAAGAGAAATAAGAGTTAGACATTCTACAGCAGAACTCAACCTTCCAACCACTAGCGCACAGATCCCTGCGGTTCAGATTTTCAAGGTGGATTTGCTGGCTGAAGAATCATACAAAATACTAATAGTTGCAATTTACCACAGGAGAAGAGTGATCGTTTTAGGCTGTTTAGCAGAGTGAAATTATTTCCTCACCAATTTTAACATAACAGAAATATAATTTCATCTCTAAAGAGAGATGCATAGCTTTGACATTTTATTTACCAAAACAGGAGAATTCAACCATACAGCATTGTTACAAAAGGTCGTGATATGTGTATCCAGTCGTCCAACGACACTTAGAGAAACATGTGTTTTTTCCTGAGAAAGAGAATCAATTATCTAGCCTACTAGTTGATTTTTTCTTGAAAGTCAACACTGCGTATCAGTTTAAAGCATGGCAATATGTTTTAGACTGAGCTCCAACGCCTTATTAAAACGATCCTTATTTCTTATAAATGTAGCATGTAGTCTTCTTATCTTGGAAAGCATTTAAGAATTAATAGGCCTTCATGAAGCTGAATGTGAAAGTGTAAAAGTTTCCCTTAGGTGGATAAGCACATAAAGCAAAACTCCATTTAAAGCCTTTAAGTAGAACCAAATGCATTTTGCCTTCAACATGTTTAAGCACTACAATGCTGCTAACACACTCAGTTTAATAGTTTCCCTGGTCGCCAAAGATTCTGGCAATCAATTGCTGGCTAAATGCCTCTGGTTATGCCCAGTGTTTCTGACACAGGTTGCATTCTTGATAACGCTCGCTGTTTGATGCAGATAACTGCTATGCCACGCCCTCAGCACAGCGGAGACTCCCATATGAAATGGGAAAACCAAAAATGACACGTCTGTAGAGCAAGACTAATAGTAAGCTGTTGGTCAGGTTCCCATGGCATCGTGCGGATAACCAAATACAAACCGACTTGCAGAGCAGTTAAGTCGTAAAATCAAGAGCAAAAAACCAGATATGTAAAGTGTTTAGTGTATAACAGAGCCACGGGAATATTACAAGGGCTCATGGTAACAGCAATACTAAAAATTGTAATCATGGCAACATATTGACGTAGATTTAAAGAGCTAGAATAGAATACATTTTCCCCATAAGAACAATCTTGTCTCCATCCTGTCCCTCAATTCAATGCACTGATGGCATAATAAAAACATGTTAGAAACCAAAAACACATAGCAAATATTGTTTTTCCTTCAGTATCAGTATTTTAATTCACTTTTTCCTGTTAATATAATAATTATTTCTTTGGTATAATGCAAGTTTTAGTAGCAACAAGGGACCCTTTGCTATTCCAGTCAGCATACTTTTAACCAATTAAAATGGGCATTTAAGTGCATTTTGAAACTGCTTTGAATCACTTCCGGTTATTCTAATATCTTTCAGTAAATTAAAAAAAAAAAAAAAAAATCAAGCTCTGGGTAAACTCTTAACAGAGGTTTTCTTCACAATTTTATGCAGACCCTGTTTTCAGATTTCTACAATTATGTCAAGCATTTCCTTGAAATTGTGAATGTCTGCCTTGGCCACTTCATCCAACAAAGCTCAGACAGTTGCAAGAAGTTAAGTAGCAGGAAAAAAAGGCTTCTTTTTCCTCTCGTCTTAGAAGTTTTAGTACTTCTGTATGTGAAGAAATTTTTTTTCTATGACCTTTTTTACAAGAATATGCCCTTTTCCTTCTCTGTCTCCATTTGGGCAGATTTACCCTGAATTAAAGCATGCATGTGCTGAATAGAGAATCACTGATTTCAATAAAACAGCATCCACCCTGACCATGTTCCCATCCAGGAAAGTTCTCCCGCATATGCAGCCATTTGTCTCTAGAGGCAATGCCAGGCCGAAGTTCCTGAACTATCAGCAAGACACCTGCCTCTCCTGCACTCATAATCAGTATGCTCCCTTCAGTCTATCTGAGAGGAAAGAAGGGCTAGAGGAACTTGTATGGTTTAAACGCAAAGGGAATAAAAGCAGGACTTTGTCAAGGGTAGGAAGAATAGAGTGGGATTTGGTCAGAGGGATCAGCAGCAGTTCATGTGGTGAATCTAATTACGCCTGCTGACATGTATCAGAGTCATGCCACATGATTTTTTTCTTGTGGCTTTTTTCAACACCTAAAATACTCTGTATACTGTCATAACAAATTCACCTTGAAATAAACACATTAGAAATGCAAAGTGAAGTATCTCTCAAATTAGAAAACACAGACAACACCCTAGTTCTGGAAACCTCAGCTGTCACCTGCATACAGAAGTTCCTTGTGCATATGCCTCACAGAGGCACACACTGCAGTTGCGCAATTTCCTTTTTCCTGTGACAGCTCTGTTGCACTCAGTGGACAAGATGAATTGTCCTCACTTAATGAGCACCATTTAATATTTTATTTCACTTCACTTGCTCAATGCATGGACCCAAGCCTTACTTTCTGCATACTATTCAGCTGTTGCAAGTAGAATTTTAATCATCCCCAACGCTTTCCAGTAGAACTCTTCATGATACTAGTTTATTTTCACAACACTCTTGAGAGATGGAGATGACAATGTGAAATCCATCCTATAGATAGGAAATGAAAACATAGGCCAAGAATGTTTGTGCTTACTGGATGCTTGATTTGAGATCCTTGCTCATTCTAAGAGTATTTAAGAGCATTGTTCATATATTCAAAGTGCAGCTCCACTGACTTCTGTCCGCACTCTGAGTAATACCATTTTTGCAAACCAGAACTTAATAGTTTGAAGAGGCATACGAAAAAAGCAATAAATCAGCTAGGCCTCAATTAATCTCACTGGATTCAACAGCAGCTTCTCATCTGAGATGTTTAAGTTTGGACTCTAGCTGCTGCAGACTCCCTTTATGTATTATGGTAGTCTGAACCAGCCTCAAGAAGTTCCCATCATTCTTCGTAACTAAAGAACTCTTAAGAATCCAGATTCCTAAAGCCAGAGGGTATGAACGTGGCCCTCACAGATGATCGCACCACAGTCTGATCCAACTGACTTGCCACATGCCAACTCTGTGACAGAGCACTGAAAGGACTGAATTGCCAAGAGCAATGTTCAGCTACCTTAAACACGACCCTTCTTTTCTCCTGTAATGCCCTGCCTCAGCCATTACGTGCTCTCCAACTACTACAGCTATGAGGTAGAGGGTTTGGGAATGAATGCCAGTCTCCCTTTCTATACAATGCTAAGTCATCTCTAGAGCAGGATCCATTCTGTGCACTGAGTGAAGAAAAGGTCCTGTGCAGGGGAATATTACAACAATGATGCAAAGACTAATTTGTGATGCACAGAGAAAAGGAGGCAAATCAAAACTGCCCAGATATCCAAGTTCTGCCATTAGGTAACTTACAGTAGTAATGTCTTTTGACATTAATACTTACGTTTTGTATTTTTAAACACAGAGACATAAAATAAATAACTCCAACTTCTAGTCCACGTTTTACATTTTTAGGAAACTAACTGTTGTAGTTCTGCAAAGCTAAGCTTGAAACAGAAGTTGTATAATGGCCCCATAAAACCCCAGATGCACTGCTTTAACTACGTCTTCTAAATTTGTAATTCTACTTGATTTAAAACACAGTGCATCACAGAAGCTATTCTTACTTTCATATTCAATTCATAGTACAAGCTGTTTATAGCTGCCCGCTGACACCTTCCCTCTTGCTTGCTACCTAAACTCACCTGCCAAGATTAATTGGGCTCCCACTATTTCATATCCATCTGTTAAGTCAAAACTTGTATATCATTGTGGACATGACCACCATCCTTTCAATTGCCTAAGCCTGGATACCATCTTCAATTTGGACCTGAGGTCTCCCATATTACTTGTCCAGATCTTAAGAATTTTTTTCTAGGTAACATTTCTACAAAATGGTTTTTTTCCCCTCTTCACTTACACTTAAACTCTTTTCATTTTATACATTAGTACAGAAACACTCTCTGGTCATGAAGTCATTTGACCCTGCTCATATCTAAGTACTACCACAAACAGGTAAATGAATAACAAAGCAAAGTACTTTACTTTTACCAGTGCGAAGAATGCTTAGGTGGACTTTCAAAAGAAGACACATATATCCATGCTCTTTGGGAAACTGATGGATCTGTCACATTCTGAATTTGTAACACATTGGAGAAATTACAGCCTGAAGTCTAACTTTCCATTCTTAGAAGTTAGTCATTTAAGAGCAATTTTACATATCTGATTCGTCACCTACTGATAACAGGTCACCTACTCATAACAAGATTTTGATACCAGTGTATAAAATGTTTTTCAAATACATATAAATTGCCTGTATCACAGTGCTTAAATATGGTAATGTTCATGCTAAAGGTTGATAGCTCTGATGGAAAAGTTTAAAAGAGTGAAACCCTTAATTGTATTGTGCTGTTCCAAAAACACTGTCCTATTAAGATCATTAATCAAATAAGACAAAAATCTAGTAAATACAATTACAGGAATTATATCATTTATTACTACAGGATCAAAAATGGAATTATTCTAAACTGTTGTTCATATCATATCCTCTGCCAAACTTGCACTTTTTGCAAATACAGTGCTTAAAACTGTAAACCTGAGCCACTGTCAGTGTTTACATTCCACGGTTGTGCAGCACACGGTCCATAGCTAAATCTCCTAGGCACGCCAGCAATACAAAAAAAAAAAAAAAAAAGTGGTCATAAATGTATCACATGCACTAACAATAGCTTCAGCAATACTTACGAAGGTGCTATGTCCAGATGATTGATGCTGTACCCAGACGTACAAAATCCTCCTAGTGTTGTTGATATGGTCACGAATGCAACAGCCAGTGCATAGTTGCAGCCTATGAATCCAGCTGCTACTAAGAACACTGCAGGTCCAATCATTCCTTTAAGACAGAAATCTTAGAATCAATGGACTTTTAACATGAGAGACATTAAGAGGCTCTAAGCCATGTATACATTTTCTGTACAACTTCCACCACCACCTAGCGTACAGAATCCAGCACTGCACTGCATGCATTACAGTGGGCCTGTAAGGAAGAGCAGATGGGTTGCAAACCTGTTGCTGCCTCAGGAAATGGTAGCCAGACCAGAAAAATCCCACTCTAGCTGCAAAGAACAAACTTCAACTAGATAAGAAATTAACAAAAATCAACAGATACTGAAAGTGACTTCACAAATTAATCGTATTTATTGTTATAAAAATAATAGAAGCTGCACTGACACTGGTAGGTGAACAGTGCACTGCAGCGAAATTATCCTCATTTAACTTTCCAGGTTTCAGGAACAAACACTGACTTCTGCAGATCATAATAAAGTAGAGCTGGAAGGGTTCATACAAATACATACATACATATGCATATTTCTCCTGCAGACACCTTCTAGAATGAGTTTTACTTCATATTTACAAGACCTGAACATCTGGTATATCTATACTGGAGCCTGCTGTACAATTTAGAGAACCCAGGCTAACTTTAAAGATGCTACATCAGGTACTGGAAACAGCTCAGCAGCCATCATGAGGTAGTACATGCTTCTTCCTGTCTGCAGTCAACTTTGGTACCCATTTCCCAGTACCAGAGCCTATTTACATGACCCCATCATGATCTCTGTAAACAGCTCCAAGTACATGCTTTTGTTGATGAAGCCAACCTAACAGTCCTGCTTTTCCTAACACAAAAGCATGTTCCCCCCTCAGTTGTACATACTTGGGTGTGAGGCCCTGCAGTAAACTGGTGTAGGCTTAAAAAAATAAAAAAAAAAAAAAAACAAAGCTTCAGAGGTCATTATAAGAGCAGCTTTAAAGAAAGCAATTCCATCAGCAGGATTGAGAAGGCAGGAAGGATGGGCGTACATCAAGCAGGCTGGAACTTGTGTGGATCCTGTGCCTAATCTCTTCCCCCCCGCTTCTTTCCCCTGCCCCCTCTTTTAATCAGCAATCAACTTCTCCTTCCTAAATACAGCCTTTTACCTGTATTTGTTAAAAACCTGATCTTGTTGATCTCTTGGTGATTTCAGATCATCTCTCCTCCCAATTAGTCAAGATCATTTTGGATTCTATTTGGTCTTTCTACCCTGGTAGCAACTGTAAATTTTGCAAGTGTATTCCTATTCAGTTACTTAAGTCTTAAATAAACAAAACACTGAACAACACAGGGCTGGGAATAGGCTCATGCAGAACAATATCCCGTCTCAGTTTGAGAAAGCCATTCACAAGGTATCATTCTGTCAAGCAACTATCACCACTTTAATGGTGATTCTACCTGACCAGTTTGCTTGTAAGAATGATGTATCTTGACCTAAACAAAGCTTTTGGCAATCTCTTATCGTTTTCGTATCCAAATAGGCCTCCTTTTTTGTGGAAAAAGATAGGATTTACTCTTGACAAATTAATGCACAAATAAAGCTGCTACTCTCAAGCCACGCACAATCCTGCCTAATCTCACAGCAGAATGTCACACTACTCTTCCAAACCCTTCATGTTTCCCAGACTGATACTATGGTATGTTCCAAACAGAGATGATACTTGCACCTACCTATTAGGGTAAAACATTTGCGAACACAAACAGTGGACAAGTTCTGTTTTTCCCGTAAATAATCAGCAATTTGCCCAGAAACAATTATACATAACCAGCAGCCAAAATAAGGTAGGGCAGATAAAAAACCATTCTGTTAAGGAGATAAAAAAAAAAAAAAAAAAAAAAAAAGACACAGTTAAAACACTGAAATGACAATTCAATATGCTGAAAAATCACTTGTGCTGGAGCATTAACAGACACTGAACCAGAGGTGTCAAAACCATCCATCCGCATAACTATTGTTGGTATTACCATAAGAGAGAAACCTAGCGATAGAAAAAGCAAAGCATTTTAAAGTTACTGATGTGTAAACTCTCCATTGCATGACTTAATCCATAACTACCAATGCAGCCAGACCAAAAACTCAAAGGTTTAAATCAGCAACTGGGTTCAAGAAAAACAAAATTATACAAGAAGGTATCTTGTGGACATTAACCTGGTCACACAAGTTTCCAGAAACATCAATTTCAAGTAGGACAGGCTATCAAGTGAGTTACTAAAGTAAGTGGAAGCTGTAAACATTATTCAGAATTTTGAAAGCTATGGAATCTCAGGGTTTTGTATTACTATAACTCTTCAACATTACATTATCCCACATTTGTCTGCTGAAACATCTGATGCTGGCTGTAATCAGAGACAAGATACAGAACTAGGACTTTCATCAGATCCAGGCTGGACATTCTATAATCCCAAAGCAAAGCTACTACTCAGGACCTACCATTACTTACACTGAAGCCACCTGTTAACTCCCATTACTTTAAACAAGAGCTGTTTAGAGACTTCTGCCTGATTCTGCATGTTTTTCTGATGAGGGGAAACAAAAGGTACTATTAAGCTGCATAAGTTAACAGTCTTGCCATACAATTATGGATAATTACTGATAACAGACCTATAATTTGACCTAATCTGTGATTAAAAAGAGGTATTTGGATAGCTATTGCATAGAAACACTCTAATGTTTATGCACTATTATAAAATGTATATTTGTCAAATAAGAAGCGAAAGCTTCCCTAGGAAATTTAATTTGACATGAGACCAGAAATACATTCCCACACAAAATCCACTCTATCAGCACTCAAAACATGCTGCCTGTTGGGTTTCAATGCTCAGCTTTCAAAAGCAGTAAGTAAAATTTTGAAAAATAGAAGATAGTCTCAGTAATAAAAAGAACTTCTTTTGAAGCACTGTTCAAAGACACAGCATTATTTTTAACCAGTCCCTTTATTATAGGATGGAAACTGGTGGACTGTACAGTAGCAGCTGTATAATATTTTGAACAATAATGCAATTTCCATATAAATGTGGGGCAACAATGTTAGTTCAACACCATTGTGCAAGCTTTTTTTTTTTTTTTTAAAATGTTCACAACAGTCAGTACTCTAAGTTACTCCAAAAAGAAGAAACATAACCCAGAGACATAGGAAACCACTTCACAGCAGAACCTGTTAGCATTTAACGCAATGGCATTTTACAAAACACGTGCAATCTAGGGCTGTGGTAGAAAATTACTTTCATAGATGTTTACGCAGGTATTCCCTCAAGAGGCATAACAAGGAACCCAACCAGCAACTTCAGCTAGTTTTTTCCAGCCATTTTGCAGCTTGCCGTACTGCAGCCTTCTCTTCTAATGCTGAGATTCCCCATCTTTTCCTCCCAAGATTGCTGGCATCACCTCTTTCTTGCATGGTGTGCATCTTCAGTTTGCTCTAAACCAGCCTCATGTGTTAAACTAGGAAAAGGCTATGCTAAACTTCTTGAAATTTCTGAGCACCTTTTTACTTGAGCTGTACCAGCTTCTCCAGGTAAACTATGCTATCACTGAAACTTTCTCATTAAAGAAAGATTAGTACAGTCAAGTAATTGCTATAAATAAGAATGTTCCACCCCCCGCCCCCATAATTTTCTCCTGATAAATAATTTCATTTTAAAAAATTTCCTTGAAAAGCACTATTTCTGGACCTTAAGTCTATGGGTTTTTTTCATCCTATTTACCTCACTAAAAAAAGGTATTTTACCTCTGCTGCTCATTGAGGAAAGGAAAGAAAGTGACAATTTGGAAAGCGATCCAATCAGACTGAAGCTTCCCCCTCTCCTTTCCCCCCCTTAAAATACTTTCAAAAATGCCACTTGTCCAAATATTTCCTTAGTTTTATTTTTCTTTTTTAACTAGAAATGTTCTCTTTTATGAGTGAGCGAAGAAGTAGATAGTATTTCAGAAGCCATAAAACAAGCTATAAAATCTGAAGCAATCATACAAACCATATTATAGAGAAAAATATTTTTATAGTTATTGCTTTAAATCAGAGCAGTTAAAAATGAGTAACATGCATCTTCAACCAGAAAAATGAGCTCGAAAGCTAGCATTAAGCTAAATGTCAAATAAGTCCTGAAAAAAGTGGAAATTACAAGGCAGGCAAAATTTTTGATGCATCCACTTAATTGTGGGGATTTATTTTACCATTTCTCAGCTACACATTTACATTCCAAGGTTCTTAAACAGGTTCCTCTATTCTAAGGGAAGACCTAAGGGAAGCAGGGAAGATCTGTTATTTCATTTCTTTAATTCAGAAGAAAGTGACTATATTTTTATTTATCTCACCTCCTGTGCATCAAACCGCAGGATCTCCTTCATGTATGTGGGCAAGAGCGTAAGAAGTGTATAGAAAGTCCAATTATAAGAGAAGTGTGCCACAACGATAGCCCAGAGTGGAAGGGATTCCAGCATAGGTCTCCAGGGAACAGATTTCTGTGTAGAAAGCTAGCAAGCAGGCAGCAGAGAAAAAGAGAAAAGAAAGAGCGATCAGGACATTGACATGAACATTTATTAAATACAGTGTTTTGATCCTACCCAAATCTATGCTGATCTTCATTCTGAAGGGTGTAAAATGAGTCTCAGTCGATAGATGCAAGTCATCGGCAATGAATGAATTACTTTGTTCAGTTCTCACTAAAGGTATACTAAAGTATGTTATTGCAAAGAAAACCAATTACTATTACATTTTTGTAATCAGAATTTCAAAAAGTATGCCTTCCCTTGTTAAGATTTGTTGCCTCCTGCTTTTAATAGAAATGATTGAATATTTGAAGTCACCCCTCACGTGTTTATTTAGCTGAATCTTTCCTACTCAGTCCTAGATATTAACTTTGGTCTCTTGGCCAGCTTCACAGGTTGTAAATACATATCTCTAGTCACAGAAATAAACTCTTATGCGCACTTTAGGAACTGGCTCACTAGCAATTTCAAAATGTTTTCACCACAAACAGTAATCTCTTTCTTATTCTAGAAGACACATTGAAAAAAAGTTGTAAAATGTTGTATTGCAAAGTTTAGAGACATTATACAGGTCTGGACCTAGTTTAAAGAGAAGTGATAGACTTGAGCTTTTTATTTAAAAAGCACCGCAATGTCTGTGACAAAAGGCATTATTACAAATGCTTTATTTGATTACCAATTTTTTCTCATTTATTCAACTGCAGTGTATTTTTAATTTTTTGTGTGACAAATTCTGCCTCTATCTCAGATTAAGGATGTTTTTCAAGACATCAACAGAGCATGATGCTAATGACAATATTTGTGGTTTATGTTCTTATTTAAGTAAGTAAGTATGACTACACCAAAGTGCTGTACCTGATCTTTTAGAGAAGAGAGTATATATTCTCTTTCAGCACGTGAAATGCTTCTGTGAGTTTCTGGTGTATCACTAGCCAACCACATCCAGAAGAAGAACCATAATACGCCAAGTGCACCTATTGTTGGGAAAAGATGGGTAAAGAGATAGAAACAAAAACATAAGGAATTGTATTGACTGAATAACATACTCAGATGATTTAGTTAGAATTTTCTTCCAAATACTTAATGTAATTTTAATGAACTTTACTTTTCTATCTACTTACAAACAGTAGTTCCCCAAAGTGGCTTAACGATGCACATCTAGAGGTAATAAACAATACAGAGGACTAAGCGGGAAAGTGGATTTTTGTGGTTTTTTTTTTTCTTCTTTCTTCCTCTTGGAAGTGCCTCATACAGCAAGAAAGTTGCATACACATACATATTGTATTTTTATCAGTCACATGGAACAGTCACAAAGGATATGGCTCACGCAGAGGAAATTAAAATTCACATTAAGTTTAATCACAAAAAATACCTTCTGCACACACACAGTATATGACTACATACAGCTTAAGTAAGGTACCAATCCTCCTTTTCTTTTTTAAGCCAAACCCCAGAACTGCCATTTGAAAAAGGTAACTTTTCAATAGTCAGTCCAAATCAACAGTACTTTTATATAACTATAACTTTGTAACTTTATTCATTTTGTCCAATTCTTTGTTTTAGACACTTTTTATTTATACAAAAATTGGAGGTGGTTTTGTTGAGGAAAGTGTAACCCTTGGCTTTTATTCCGATTCTCCCTTCCCCATGCAGAATACGAAACAGCCCAGACATGTAAATAGACCTATAAAAAGCATCAGTTAGATCTATGACATGCTGTTAGAAAGTATTTTCTGTGTTTGAGCTTCTTCTAGAACATAACTCACAGTAAACATGCTATGCCTCGCATTTTGGGCATTCCTTTAGGGTTCCTGTGACTGCTAGAGAGATTTTCCACGCAGTTTCCATTTAAAGCAGCAGTAACTTTTCACATGTTCTTTCATTCAGAGTAGAAGTTTGTTCCTGGGATTAAAGTTATTAACTCAATTTCACACTTCAAATAAGAAATTTCAGCCTGTTGTTTCCAAGTGGCGGGAGAGTTAAGACCATTTGACTTGTACCAGCTTTTGTCCAACTCAGAGACAGCTTTGCTCATCAGAAGCAAGGCTTACATAGCCACACACAGGAATCTACTTAGCTTTAAATATCTCTAATTTCCCAGGAGGAATAAAATAGCAACTCTACATGTCAAACATGTTTTTAAAACTTAAAATAAGTTCTATAATATACCATGCTTTTCAAAAAGAATATGGATTGTACTTTTAATAAAAAAAAAAAAAACACTTACCAAATATGTAAAACACATAAACCCAGTTCATATAGTAGCAAATTAAACCAGACAGTGGCAGAGAGACAACAGTCCCCAGCTGTGCACCTACCGGAAGAAAGCAAAACAAAGTGGAAAAACAATAATTAGATCTCCTATAGACCCCTTAAACTAAGTGGCATTTCACAGTTATTTTATTTTTCTGTAATAAATCATGCAGTAAAGATTTGTCACCACCACTAGAGGGCTGCCATTTCACCTTAAAGAAACACAGGCACAATAAGCTGCTTTGGCAGCTCCAAATAAACGGAGTCACAAAGCCCTAAGCATCCAAAAGTACGAGCAAAAAGCAGTAAAAGACAGGCATTCTTGGCACATTCATCTCCAATAAACTGATGGCTCTAGTACATCCAAAACAATGCAAATTAGTCAACCAGCACTGCTGCAAAACAAGAGAGAGCTGACCACAGTACAATTAAGAACTTGGGAAGGGGGGGAGGAATATTCTGACTTGATATAATCAATTTGCATTTCTCATAACTCCTACTAGCTCCAAAGAAACAGGAATGCTAGAAACAAGAGCCAGAAGGCATCCATGCAACCAGCAGGTTCAAATCCCATTGTCCCTGAATTTGACAGCGTGTAGGATCAGGCAAGGAAGAAGGGGGAGATGAGCAGATTCCAGTTCAGACACAAGCCAAAAGCAGGAAAGAACTATTCTTCAGTTTATAATTCAATATACATTTTGCAAATGATGGCAGGTTCCGCCCCAAATCTAAACCAGAAACCCAACCCATATTATTTACATACTTAGGAAGTCTACTGGTGATAAATAATATAGACCTTGTCTCTTGATATTAGTTATACGATCACTTCTCCAAACCTAATCTCAACTCAGAAAGCATTATATTATGTTGATACGCTGGCTACCTAGATTCCATCTTCATGGAAACAATAATTTTTATTTGAGGCAGAAAGCTTCACCCACAAACAACAAAACCACATACATCATGCAAAACATGAATCAAAATAACAACTACATATAACCTCAATCATATGTTCTCTTAGAAAACCAACATGATCATGATTAAATAAACCACAGACCACATGACTGCCAACCATGAAAATGTGAGGAAAAGGAAACACTCTGCTAAGTTTACACAAGATGCCTTATCCATCCATGACTACTAAAAATTGGCAGTTCAAGGCTGCAGCCTCTTCTCACTAGTATACTAGCATACAGTTTCACAAGATACAAAAGGACAGTTTAAAAGCTCCCAGTTGTTAAATACAGTAGATGTCAATCCCAACTCTGTGCTCTCTGCTTAACTTGTGTGATGGCTCTCACACGAAGACTTCTTTTAAAGCAGATTTAATTCACTAATATGGCAGAAAACAGATATTAAAAAGGAGAAAGAGCTTTCTGCCTCATTAGGTGGGTTAAAGTGGCTCATGGAAGGGTCTGATGAGTTCCTGAAATAGCAGAAAAAGGAAGGAATGAGACACTTGGCTAGGAGGGAAGTGAGGAAGTGTCAGGAAGAAAGGATTAAGGCTTCATTCCTGTTGGCACAAGTGAGCCACTAGATTGGCTCAGCTGCTTGAAACAGTAGCTGCAGTTTACATGGTATAGCCCTGCCTTCTTGATGAAGCCCAGGTCGAGTAAGAAAGCTGTAACAGAATTAATACTAAGAAGAGTGAGTAAACCAAACCATTACTTTATTTAGTGAATGCAAAATTTGGCATCCTCAAAGAAAAAATATTAATTTTGACCAGTAAGTTTAGAAGGCTACATTTTTCACCTGCCCCACAAATACTGCATCGAGCAATGTGATTGACCAATAAACCCCTAAAACAGATGAAGGCTCAGTGGAGATGGGCAAGAGCAATGTGTCCATGAAGCTCAGGGAATAATACAGGGTGTGACTGACCACAGCTGTTGCAAAGAAAGCTGACTTTATCTCAACACAAAGGGGACCAGAGCCTGCTCTTTGTTTTAGATAAACAGCTATGTCAGTTGAGTGGATCAGCTGACTATATCAACTGTTGAGTGGATCAGCTGGTGGTGTAAATGTTTCTCCCCAAGTTCATTAAAAGTGTGACTGCCTCCTTGAGTTAGCCAGATCAGCATGAGGGGAGTGAATACATGGCTTAGCCCAACATAAAGTATAAAAACTAAACAACTAACAACAGATTTTCTAAGAGAACAACAGACTTAAGCTGCCTTCAACCCATGTATTCCTTCCCGGGGATTCCCAGCGTCATGATGGTGAGCATATTAGAGACCAGTAATGCAAATGTGTATTGCAATTGCTGTATTTTGCTGTTAACTTACATTTGTACTGTGCTTTCAGTATATTTTGTATCACTCTGCTAAATCAAAAATCCTGTGTAACATCAAATATCTTCAAATAAGTAAGTTTGGTATCAAACATTACACCTTCCATGTGTAGAATATCTAAAAGAATCTGGTCAAGAAGTACTGGACTCTAACAAGGAGCTCTTGCAGCCACACCTGGGACCTTGGACATTTTCTTCCTTGAGTTCCTCCAAAAAAAAAAAAACCAACCCAAAACCAACCAAACACCTGTGATTCTGCCCCAGCTTTTTTGTTCCTAATACTAAATCTCCTTTATTTACAGTATCTTCTATTAATCAGCTTCACAGTAACTCTTTGCACCGCTTTATACCAAAGTTAGTCTGAAGTTTATACTTAGTTGCAGATCAATACCTTTTCTCAGGGTTGTAAGAGCCATGAATAAATGAAGATAATGAATGCAAAGCAAGATTTAATTCAATGTTATGCTTTCCAGATTAAATGCCGATTAAAATTTATAATATAAATCCCTTTGATTTAAGTCAATCCTCCCTGTTACTGCAGTAAAAATGTATAATCCTGTTATAAGCATGGGAATTTCTCACCTGCATATGAAATACTAAGGAGCTTGCTGCGTTCCAGTGGAGGAGCCCAAGAAGACCACATTGAATGCATAGCTGGGAAGGTAACACCCTAGAAAACAACATTTCATTCTGTTGAAATGCGACAATTTTAGAACACCCTTCAACTTTGCATGTTTCAAAGTGTATTTCATTAAAAAGCAGTAGTACAATCTGTTAGTTTCTTGTTTAGCAAGAAACCACTTTAAAAAAGTGTGCAAGGCATGAGAGTAAGTAGGCAGAATTAACTTCTGCTTTTGATTCTGTATATACTGGAAAAGCTGCAAGAATACAAACAATACTGTTCTGAGCTCCTGGTTTCTGACAAATGAGAAGGGATAATTCTAGTTTTGTCTCAAGTGCTCTTACAAATAAAACCTTTTTCTTATTTGAAAAGCTTACGCTAAAATACAGGGCAAACGTTTTAATTATTCAAAAAAATTAAATCTAAGCTACTCAAAATGAAATAATCCATATACTACTCCAGCATACCGACACCCACAGGGTCTAATCACTACAATTTATTAATAAATTATTCAGATACATTTTCAAGTTACATAGAGAAAAAAGATTACCTCTCCCAGTCCTTCCAAGGCTCTGACAGCTATGAGATAGCCAACTCCCAAATTTGCAGCTAAGGGAGTAAGCAAGGTGAATACAGAGGTACCAAAGATGCCAAACCCCAGTAACAGCTTCCCTCCAATTTTGCTTGCAAGATATCCTCCTGGAATCTGAGTAATGATATAGCCATAGAAAAAAGAACCAAGGATCCATCCCTGAGTATCAGCATCCCAAGAATACTTTTCCCCCTAAAAAGAGAAAAAAAAAACAAAATGCAGTAAGTTCAAAATAGCAGTTTCTCTGACCGTATTTTGTATAACTTTGATCCATCATTTAGTCCTTTACACCTATTAAAAAAGTCTTTCATGGCCTCCTCTCTAGGGTCTCCTTCCTCTACACACATCTATACTGCAATCAAAGTTGTGCTGAAAGCTAATTCAGGTAGTTTACAGTCTGTCCAGACATATCTAGCCCAAGTATGAAAATCATCACAACATGAAATGTAAGTGCTCAGGCAGTTATCCCTTTTTGAGTTCTAAGAAACTTGGTTAGGTGACACAGGGACAGACTACGTAGTCTGCATGAGTGTGAATCCAACTTCTGTATCACAGTGTGGACATTCTGTCATGCTCTAGAAAATGGCTTTTCCCACAGAAAATTTATGGACAGAAAAGCAAACAAGGAAATGCAGGTGCTTAAATTTAATATAAAGAAAGAGAGCAGCCAAGGACAGGATTCACAAGCATAGGTGGAAGAACGGGATAAGCACAGCAGAGGGAAGATGAGTTTAGTGGACCAAGTAATAAAAGCAAAGATGATTGAGATAAGGAGCCTGAAGCTATAAAGGAAGTCAACAAGAAGTCATGAACTGTTGCCCAGTAAAGTGATTTTGAGGTTTGGGATCACTTCCAAAAGCCCAATTTATGAGCATCTAAATAAGCAGCATACATTTCACAGAAGTGATGAGACAGAATCTTCTTCCCATAAAGTTCGCAGTTATAATTTGCTCATGATAAATAATAAATGACCTCTAAACAAGCAAACAAAATGAAGGCAGGAAGATGGCAAGAGTGCTCGGTAATAAACTTCAATTATGAGGTGAGATCTATGCAAGTCCAAATTCACAAAGTTGTTTGTTTGTTTTTTTTTTTTAAAGCATTTTTTCATATCTAACAGTTCTGTTCAGTTAAGAAATGTGATTTTAAGGATTACTGGAAGGGAAGTCAGAGATAACAGATATAAAGACAAGAATCATGAAAGAGATCAAAGAAGTGAGGAGAAAAATATTACATGTTAATTCGTAATGAAATTTTATGCCATTGAGACTGTATGAAGAACAGGCAAATATGGACAGTGAGGTGAGCTCTGACGCAGATGTAACAGTAACAGTTGATCACTGGCACATAAAACAGTGAGTCATAATAGATGTACAAGGTCAGATTAGCCAATTTGTAAGGAATAGCACACAAAGGATCTACGTAAAAAAACCTGACCCTAAGCACAGCACTTCTAAATTAGCTAGTCATTTAAGGCTATTATTTTTCAGAATAGCTTTAAAAGAACCACTGAAAAGGCCATCCGGTAAAGAGCAGCCTGTTCTCTTGCCACCTAAGCAGCATGAGTCATCAATCACAGACTTCTATTAAAAAGACTTTTACATGCCACATTACAGGACAATATGTTTGAGACCTCACCGTTGTGTTGCGAGGAACATTTATGGTGGAGGAATGCTCTGGACACACATTGGAAGTCGTATTCTTTGCTAAGCTTGTGTTAGGTTCTATCATATCCACCAGAGCAACACTTAGGTTCACACGTAACGCGTACAGGAGGAAGAACCCAAAAAAGGCCAGTAGTGCTAGATTGTAGCGAGCTGAGCAGCATGCAGGGACTGAAACGAGAGTAAATGAAAAATTTTTGTTTTAACAGAACCTAACAAAGTAAGAACAACTGATAAACAGTTTTTACTAATAATCTCAGAAATCTAAGGGTAAGAAAAAATTAGGCAAGAAAACAATCTAATTGTTCTAGTCTTAAGGGGTGTATTCAATAGGGGTAGAGGCTGCGGAGGCAGGGGGAAGCCCACTTTTCTACTGATGTGCAAAACAAATGTAATTCTGGTTTAGACAACTGGTAGCTCCCCGCACAAGTGTAGCGGCTGAAGTGGAAGTGTAGTCTGCAGAAATGGATTTAGAAACATGGTTTCAAAAGTCCGCTCCAAAATACAGTAATATTTATTCAATGTAGAACTTCATACTAAAAAAACCCCAAGATTAGCAGGAAGCCTGTCATATAGACGAAAACGGTTCAAGAAAAACAGGGACTCTTAAAGTAGTGTTAAAGAACAGTCATTGAGATTCCAGGCTGTTTTCTAGGACAAGTTTTCCTTCTGTAAGTTTGCTTATAAAGGAATATGCATTTGCTGACAGCTGCCAAACAGAGAAAACTAGCAAAAAGAGGAGTGGCAAACACTGTGGTGGCACTGTGAAACAAGAGTTGCCCAGTTGCCCAGTATGCCCCTCTTCCGCAGTCACCATACAACAATGGAGTTGACAAAGGAAAACGAGTCTTAGATTCAGCATAAAATCTGTGTTGTGGCATTAAGTCGACACTGTCAGCTGTTTAAACCCACATATCAGACTTTGTACTGTAACACAGTTATCGATTCCCTTCTACAGTAGCACACAGCAGCATTTGGCAGAGATTGTTCATCAGTACCAGGAGATTCAGATCAGAGTTGAGCTGTAACTTGGCCATCATCAGTATCTATACAAAATTCAGTTTACAGCTCTGCAGATACTTTTTATGAATTGGGAATGCCTGAACCTACTGAGCAGAAATGTCAAACTGTTGAGAAACTACTTGAAGAATCTGGTGGATTTACAAATAGTTAGGGGGTGGAGTTTCCCCCCTTGTGAGGAAACTATGGTGCTAACGGAAAATTTTATAACATGGACATCTGAAATTCTGGGAGGGTTGGGGATCAGCATCTACAGATATTATATCAGTCTACAGTGATCTCATATTTCTCTGACTATTCAGAATTCAAATGATGAATAAAACAAGTATATCTATGAACAACAGGATTGACTGGAGCTTCACCTGCTACTGCAGTATGTCTCTTGACTGGATTCTCTGATCTGCAGTAAGAAGCAAAAAGCATGCCCTGTGGACAAGCTATCTAAAGACTCTCCCCTTGCCAGTAACTTCCTCGAAACAAGGAATAAGCCTATGCTATTTTGTCTTTTTCAGTGGCGGCACCAACACAGCCCTTCTGCAAGATTGTATTTTTCATGAAAGTAGTAGAACTTTCCCATTTTTGAAGCCTCTAACCCTGACCAACTTTATGTGAAGTTCATTATGGCTGCACAAGTTGTTAAAATGACACAGAGAGGCTGTAATTGCTATGCTCCTTTAGTAAATGAGTAATAAGTGAGGTTACTGTGCAAACACGCAAAATGTCTTCCAGACCTGCGCAGGGTAATTGCAAGTCTTGCCTCAGCAGCATTTGAAAAAGGCATATCTGATTTTTAAATGACATGAAGGACAGCAGCCAAGATTTTATTGCTTACTTTAAAAACAATAAGCACCAAAAGCAGGAAGTGCTTACTGCCCAAAAACTAGTCAAGCAGCTTCATTGTCCTTTATTGTTGTTTAAAAAGCAATTTGCCTTAAGTAGAAAATGTATAGTCATATAATTTATAACAGTGAATATAATTACAGGTAAAGCTATTTAACTTTTCCACTGCCTGTATTTGCTGGGGTTAAACAACAATAACAGAACACTGAATATCACACTGATGAAGTAACCCTTCCTTGGAAATGCAGATTAACTGGAACATCCATTACTCTTCCTCTGGAAGCCTCTTACTAGTATACACCTTGTCTGGAGAGCAAGCTCCACAAAACAGATGTGCAAGAACTTAAAATCACTAATGTCAGATTTTTTTGAACTGTAAATAGTTTATCATAAAAATCTAACAAACATGTAGATCTGCAAGTCTGTAACAAACGGCTGCTAAATTATTGCTTCTCTGTCTTTCCACTAAGTGCATTTGAAATATCTGAGAATATTAGATCAAGTTAACAGAACAGAAGAGTCAAGGAGATTCCAGATGCGTTTCAGTCACCCACCTCTTCAGGAGATTACCATAACCAAAGAGACACAGACATTCACCCCCCTAAAGTTTAAGGCAGCTAACCATGATGTTCAAGGTCTTACCTTGATTGGTAGTCTTGGGTTCTACATTTATAGTTAATTCTGATTTCAGGGGCATGTTTTATAATACTATAGCTATAATTAAACAAGATTCTTAAATTGCAGTTAAAAAAAACAGGTCTGTACTGCAAGTTGTGCGGCAGTTAAAGGAAGTTGCTCTTCTGCTGTATTTTTTCTTGCGGGTGAGGTGAACCACTTCAACTGGAGCATGATGCATTGTGCAAACTTAAGAACATATTGCTTTAATAACCAACTTGAACTCAAATTTCTCTCTTTCTGGCACTTTTAAATCATTTTGTTAGCAGCCCCTCTTGCTGCAGTTATATGTTTCCCAAGTAGGTTAGAGTATTCTTGCATGGCATACTGAAGAAACACAAAATCTTACTTCACTCTTTATAGCTTGTCTGTTCTGGGAAACCAAACAGCACAGACAACCCCCTAAACACATTAGCTCTCTTGTTAAGCCCTGACCCCATAACGATCCTCCTATAATTATCTTTGTGCCTTCTTCCACCTTCCTTCCTCTCCATACTTCCATAACATGCAATTAGTCTTGCTCAAATTTTGCCTTAAAATGAAATTCTGCCATAACCTCGGCGGACCCCAGCTATCGTTAACAGGGGGGCCGGCATTTAAGCTGGAATTACCCACTTGTCTTCACCGAAGAGACACCAAGCCAAGGGCAGTATTTACACGTGAATTAAGTAACGGGGCTGCACGCCTGTTCCCCGCCAGCAGTGCTGAGGGCAAAGCCCCGATCACTGCCAGGACGCGGGGCCGCGTTTAACCTCACACTCTCTGACGACGACGCGTCCTCAAGATCAAACGCATTTAGCGGCCCGGGGCGGGAGGTGAAGCCCGGGGCACCCG